CTGTAAAGGTCACATAGCTTATTTTGCCAGGCCTCCTCACCAGCTCTTTAGGTCAGCTCCTAGGACACCTTTAGGCTCTGCCCAGGGAGTTTGCTCCCTTCTCCCACCCTTAAAGGCACCAGAGCCATAGTAATGTCACTTCTCTCTCATATCTGATGCAACCTATAGAAATCCTTGCCTTAAATGAAAAGGTTTACCTATTTTTTATTTTATGTGTGTGGGTGTTTCGCTTGCATGTATGTGTGAGTTACCATGTGTGCCTGGTGCCGAGGGAGGCCAGAAGAGGGGGTCAGATCCCCTGGAACTGAAGTTAAAGATGGTCATACGCTGCCTCCTGTGTCCTGGGAACAGAACCTATATCCTGGAAGAGAACAGACATACCCCTAACCCTTGAGCCATCTCATCTCTCCAGCCCTAATTCGGGTCTTTGAAAAAGCTTTCTTGGACTCCACCAATACTTGTGCAGGGGTGTGTGTGTGAGTCTGAGACTGTCCTCTACCTGGACCTTGAACTTCTGGTAAAACAACAAAACCCAAACCAAACCAAACAACAACAACAAAAAACCCTCCTTATAAGCAGCGTGCACAGATCTGAACATGTGAGTGAGCAAGGAAGCAGCTGTGCTGAGAGTTTAGAAAATGTCGCAGAGGGAAGCTAGAGGTGATTTCTCTTGCTGCCAGGCAGGGAACCCCAATTGTGTGCTCTTCCTCCCTTCAGTTCCTACTCCAGCAGCCTGTTGCTGCTCTCCATACAGGAAATACAGGAGAGCCTGCAGGGCTGGCCGGGCTTTTTGTTCTGATTGCCTACCCAGAGGAAGACCCCTTGAAGGGAAGGCATATTTATCAGGAGCTAGCTGTGCTTTGCTCTGGAGAGAGATGGAGTGGCCAGGGCACACTCTTTCCTGGTGGGCATCTCTGGGAGAATGGGAAGGAAGTTCAGTTCCAAACAAGAGGGTGTGTCAGCAGCTGTCCAGAACACGAAGTGTTATGATCCTCCCACCAGGGCCAAGCCCAGAGTGGACTTGGGCTCCTGGCTCCTAAGCTGTTGTTTCTATGACTGACTTTCCTGTCAATTACATGCAGCCCTTTTTCCCAGTAACTGGAGCCAAAACTTACTTAGTCACTAGGGCCAACACTTTTTTGTGCCATTCCCAGGGATTGTTGTCTTGTTTAGAAGGCTGTCTTGTTTAGACTGAGGTCACAGCTTTGTCAGCTGTTGGGGAGTGAGGCCATTAAGGCCGTTCTGAGAAGCCACAGGTACTTCTGGAAAGAGAAGGGATCCTTGTAGAACCCGGAGTGAGCAGATGAATGCAGAGGCCTGCTGGCTGTAGCACGTGCCTGCCTTCAGCTCTGTGTGACCGCTTGGCAGAAAGCCAGCATGCATCTATTCCTGGGCAAATGGACCTGCTAAAAATAAGCACGCAGGAGTTTAATTCCAGCAGATTCAAAATAGCTGAGTGTCCTCCTCAGCAGCCTAGGGCAGGGCTGTGAAGCATCTTTGTGGGAGGCTTTCCCTGATTGCAGGCAGCCTGCCTCCTGGGGAGAAAAAACTGGTCTGGAGCTGTGGGTGTAGAGCGTGGGGGACCTGGAGTGCTCAGTCAACTTACATCTCGGGAAGTTTGGGTTTAAAAACCAAATGCTCAGGACAAAGAGAAACTAAAACTTTTGTTAGGGAAGGAAGGTAGTGGAAGCCTTTGTGAGGTTGAAGGGTGTGTGTGTGTGTGGTTGTGGCTGTGTGTGCAGGCGCATGCATGTAGGTTCATGCACAACAGTCCTACCTGGACTGTCAGGGGAGGTTGGTGCATCCTATGTCACCTCTTAATAGTCCTGTCAGACCATGTAAATTGAGGGAAATGGCCCCTGTTAATTCCCAAGAAAGCTGTTTGACATGAGACAGGCTTGGGCGGAGGAAGAGAGAGGCTATTTGTTTCCTTGATTGGTAGGAAGTGGAGTTGGTGAAGGGGAATCAGTTGCCTCTGAGAGGCCCCTGTGGGCACCTCCTGGCCCCCAGACACCCTTAAAAAGACACTGCTAGGCCTGGTGAGTTGCATTCAGCTATTTAGTGTTGTGTAGCTGCTAATCCCAGAGGCTCAACTCTTGGTAGAGAGTAGTGCCGTCTGTAATCCCACCCACTGTCTTGGAAGGGGGGGGGGGCGGGCGACGACCCGGCAAACAAATCCTGCCCTCTACAGGTCTCTTGGGGAACTTCCTCACGTCTCAGTTCTTTGCCTGGAAACAGCCCTGGAGAGAAGGGCTTTGTCCTGGGCCACTCTCCACCCTCAGCAGTGGGTCTCAGTTCCAGCTCAGACTGGGCTGCAGAGCAGTGGGCACTGTGAATCTCTTCCTTGTGTTGGCTGGTTCCGGGTTAGCGCTGTTCAGCACCACGTAGGAGGGCGGCCGGCACCAGAGGAGGAGTCTGGCTGGGAAATGTCACAGCTGTTTTCCTGGGCTGTTCTTCAGCTGAAGAAGTCACTGCAGCACTGGGTAGAGTTGGAGCTTGGAGCCTCTCAGTGTCTGGGGAACAAGTCCAGCAGGGAGGCTTAGGTAGGAAGTGGTGGTGATAAGCCGGTGTGCTCAGGGCAGCAGGAAGGGCTGGTTCTGGGCCTTCTGTCTGAGCTAGGACTGGGGACAGCTGGTGAAGTGGTGGAAGGAGGCCGTTGGCACGCCTCTCCTGGGCCTTGGGCACATTGTGGATCTGCCAGGTGCTGGAGGGCCTCTCATTGTGGTGTAGCTAGCTTCAGGGGGTTGGGGAGATAGAGTAGGGTGACCTGTAACTGAGGTAGAGAGTGGGACTGTGGGCATTCATTTAGTGGCAAAGGGTAGAGCTGCTTGCAGCTGGACTGGAAGCCATTTCTGTCTTAGGTGCCGAGCCATCCATCATGCACAGGACCGTGGTTTTGGCCCTTTGCGTGCTAGAAGGGGTAGCTGCTCTCTGTTGGAGAGATTGTGGGTTTGTTCTTTTTGTCCCATTCCTGAGATCAGAGAGCCTCTAGAATTCTGTAGGAATCACAAATGAGTGCTTGCTGGGAAGGGATTTCCTAGTAAGGAGTCAGGCAAATTTATGGCCATGTTCAGTCTCCAGCCAGCGCCACTTCCAGCTGTCATGTGCCCGCTGGGCAACGATGTTCTGACTCTAGGCTGTGGGGCTCCCTCCCTGTTCCAGGCTCACAGTTTTACTCCTTAACAGTCTCAAGTTGCTTTTCTTCTTTTATATGAATGACACCTAGCGTGGACACAGTGAATCCCATTTATTGATTGAGTGATTGGTGTGTGTAGGATGCTGCAGATCAGAGATTCCCAAGTCTGACTGAATCCCTGGGATCACCTGGCTTTAAAACAAACCTGGTGTTGATTCTTCTTGCCTCTCAGATTCTGACTTCGTTGGTCTGCGTGCCACCCTGGCCTTGGGCCCTGGAATGCTTCCTCAGCATCTGGGTGTGATGGCTCACACTTGTAACCCCAGTGCAATCACAGTATTTGAGAGGCTGAAAGCAAGAGAATTGAAAGCCCAAGGCCGGCCTGGGGTGTCCACTACACAAAAACCTTCCTCAGTGAGGAGGCTAGAGGGACAGCTCAGTGGGTAAGACCACCTGCCCCTTTTGTGGGGGCCTGAGCTTGATTCCTAGCACCCACAGGTAGCTCGAAGCCATCTGTAAGTCCAGTTCCAAGGGATCTGATGTCTTCTTCTGACCTCCAAGGGCATTAGGCACGTATACATACATTCAGGCGAAACACTCAAAACACATAAAATGAATCATAAAAAAAAAAAGCCTTCCTCAGTGATATGTGTGGATCCAAGTTGGAAAGCTAGGAATATAGAGAGCTTTCTGTTTGTAGCTAGACCCTACTAAAATAGACCACACTAGTAATAAGCTCACATTTGCACTATGCAAAATCCATTTGCAAAAACCGCCCTTCTCCTACAGCTGAAAGCTTAGTCCAAGTCATGCCCCCCCACCCCCAGTAGCTTTTGTTTTCTTCATTACAGGGTTTTCTGCCAGTGCACAATTTCTGTAACACTAGAACGCCCTCAGAGTGGTTGGTTCTGCAGGGTATTCAGCAGTCATTGCTCTGAAAAAGGCTAATTCCAACTTCGTTTTAAATGATAGCCTTGGTTGGGGTCTTTAGGGTCTATGCCTATGCACAGATCTTTTTGTTGTTGCTGGGTGTGGGATTGCTGTATTTATAGGGTATGCTCATTAGGTGCCCTGGGCTCTTACCTGATATTCCAAAAGGGTAGTATGAATTCCCCCATTTCTTGGCACATCATCCGTCATGGATCAACCAACTCTCCAGTAAGATGAAAGCTAGGTTCCCATTCCTCAGCTATATTACATTGAGTTATTTAGTGCTGGGTTCCAAACGAAGATGAATGGGTAGGTTGAAAATGAAATGGTAGAGGGTGGTCTCTGCTTAAATCTGAAGCCACAGGTAGTATCATGGGAGGTTTCTACCCAGAGGGGGGTTTACAAGTCACCCAAGCCCTGGCCACTGCTCAGCCCTGTTCTACACTCAGCAATCTCCTTGCTTTACCTTTGGATATTAGTAGAGGAGCTCCATCTTTACACCTGGAAGGGCTTTCTGGAATGACCTCTTTCCCTGCACTCCTATCATCCTCTTCATTTTGGGGTACATAGGTCTCCCAGTCCTATAGCATTCCTCCGAACTGGTAGTGTGAGTAGCGCTTTCTGTGGGGATCTTGGACCAGCTGAGGCTTTCACACTGTGTGTCTCTGCACAAACACAAACACAGTACCCGTGTAATGTACCCATGTCAGTGTACAGTTCCTGTGCTCCTAGGCTTGGTTTTGTTCATATTGGTTTTTGACTCTCACTATGTAGACCAGGCTGGTCTGGAGCTCACTCTGTAGACCGGGTTGGCTTTGAATTCACAGAGATCTTCCCAAGTACTGGGGGTCAAAGGCTTGTGCCGCAGTGCCCAGCTTACTACTGTATTCTTAATTGGCTTCCATAATACCTCTTTTCTTCTCACTTACCCTAGGCATAGCTACTTCACCTTGCCTCCAAGATGGCAATCCAGTTTCGTTCACTCATCCCCTTGGCATTGCCTGGGATGCTAGCGCTCCTTGGCTGTTGGTGGTTTTTCTCTCGTAAAAAAGGTCGGCTCAGCAGCAAGGAAAAGCAGGCGGAGACACTGAAGATTAGTCCTGCCATCAAGGACCGACTCCCCAGGGAAGAGGCCTGTCCTGGAGTCATGTCTGTGCCCCCCCGTGTCACACAGCCTCCAGAAAAGGAACAGCTCTTTGTGGTCAGGTCTTCTGCAGAAACCCCAGCCTTGCCAAGGGCGCGTCAGGTCCGCCGAAGATCAGAGTCCTCAGGCAACCTCCCCAGCAACATAGACACAAGGTTGCAGCCAGGACCCTGCAGAAGTGAAAACTCAAAGGTGGAACTCTCCCTGATAGGGGACGAAGCCACATCTATCCCTCATGGATATCCTCTTTTTCCAAAGGATGTGCCCTTCCCCTGTGAAGCCGTGGAAGGGTGCAAGCAAGGGTCTGCACTGGGCAAAGGTCCTGGAAGGGGCAGGCTCAGCCAGTGTACAGCCTCTGGAGAGAAAACAAGAGAGACCGGCGGGACAGAGGGGACTGGAGATGCTGTGTTGGGGGAAGGTGTACCTGAGGAAGGCCTGTTGTCCCAGGAGTGTTTCTCAGAAGTGAAGAAAAGTGAGGTTCCAAGTCTGGCCCCCTGGGGAGCTGGGGGAGAGAAGGTGAGCAGTGCTCCCCCACAGGCGGCCGAGCTTGCAAAGAAGGAAGAATATGTTGTTGAAAAGTTGCCGGTTCACTCGGAGCTGGTTAAGGATGAGGATGCTTTGGTACCCGAGGTCAGAGGTAGCAATACTCAGGACCTGGCCAGAGAGCTGGACAAGGATGAGACCGTGCCTGAAAATGATCCGATTGAGCAGGCTGCTTTCCAGATTATCTCCCAGGTGATCTTGAAAGCGACTAAAGAGATAGAGGCTACCACAGTGGGCACGACTGTGGCACAAGTGCATCCAACCTCAGCTACTCAGCCTCAGGGGCAGGAGGAGAGCTGTGTCCCAGACAGCCAGGGAACTGGACTGGGACAAGACACCCCAGATCTTGCGTCCACAACAACAGGTGCCACTGCCAGCCCATCAGCGGAAGCCCTGCCACCAAAGACCTATGTGAGCTGCCTCAGCAGCCCTCTGTCGGGCCCTACAAAGGACCAGAAGCCAAAGAACTCTGCACGCCACATCTCGCTGGCCATTTTCCCACCACCAGTTACCCCACAGAGACCATCTCTGGATGGGGCAAGTGACCTGGGAGGAGATGACACCTTTGTCACCTGTACGTCCAACAACGGCCAGAGTGTCCTTTCAGTGACAACCTCGGGGCGGTGCTCAGATTCTGTCAGCACTTTGGGGCTTGAAGACTCTTGCACAGAGACCATCTCAAGCCCTGGAGACAAAGCTGTCAGCCTGCCACTGGCAGACAGTACTGAGCCCTTCAGCAATGGGTTGCTAAAGGAGGGGTTGTCAGACTTGGGGGCCGACGATGGATGGACCGTGGATACAGAAGCAGATCACTCAGGAGGTAGGAGGGTCTGGGGTGCCTTCCTGGTGAATCTGGGAGGGCTCCCGTTACCTGCTAGGCAAAGGCTACCGGCCACCCTTCCCTTCTGCCACTTGTGCAACCAAACGATGCTGCCCATCTCTTAAGTCCGTTATCCAGCCACCTGCACGGTTTGGGCCCCTCAGAGAGCTGGTGGGTACCCGAGAAGTCAGGTGACCACGAGACCCCAAGGCTATGAGAGTTGTCCGTGGGATCGCTAGCCAGGGAACCTCCCCAGACATTTAGAAGGGCCCAGGGTTGTTGGGTCTACCAGTCAGCTTTAGTGTCTTCCCCTTTGGACACCAGCCCTTTGATGGGCCTTTGAGGACAGGCCTCCACAGTGGTCCCTCCAGAGCGTCAGGAATGGGTGAGCATCTCTTAATGGCTGACTTCCTTTACTCACGTGCTTGTTCCATGTCTCCACTTGCTTTCCTCCAGAAGCCCTTGCAGGGTAAGTTCCCCCAGGACAGCCGCAGCTCTGAGCACTGGTGGGAGGCTCGAGCTCTCTTGGGTTGCTGCTGTGACCTCCTCCTTCGCAGAGCCTCAGCCATCCTTTTTCTGTGCAGTTGCAGTTCCACCCCGGGAAAGAGGGCACTTTGGTAACGGAGGGTGCACTGGGTTTTTCGAGTGCTGACCCCAGCGTAGACAGTTCAGACCGCTAACTCACAGGTCAGCAGCTCCTGACCCTGCTCTGCAGCTCCCCAGGGGTACTCTGATTTATCTCCCTCCCAGTGACTTCCAAGCGGCTCGTGGCTTGTTTGTCCTGGAGCGTTCCCAACCATTCAGTCTCATCCAGAAAGCTTGGGTGTTTTTTTTTCTCGGGTGTTTTGCTGCTTGTCTTTAGAATCTGGGGGTACCACTCATTCGATTTTGCTACCTCAAGATGCTGTTGATTGAGATGATTTTACACACCTTTAAAAGAAAGCAAATTCTGCCCATTGTAAGTATGGGAGGCCAGACACTGTGATGAGTGCTAAAAGGTTATAAGAAAAAATTTGCATCTTAAAACAGGCAAGAAAGGTTTTAAAAAACATTTTAAGAGTGAGTTTCCAGTTGCCTGATGCCCGTTACCGTAATGAATGCCAGCTCTGGGCGGACTGTGGTAGCTGTGCAGCTGCCTGAGGTTTCTGGGCATAGCTCTACAGAAGAGAACACAGTCAGTGGGTGGGGAGGCAGGGTGGCCCATCCGTCCTGGCCTGGGGGTGGTAACATGAGTGTCGGTGGGTGCCCAGCAACACTGGTGTTCTCCTTAACCCTGTTTTGTGTGCTTTCCTTGAGATTAAAGCTAAAGGCCCATGGGGGTGAGGATGGGGTGAGGGGGTGTCGGGAGTGGGGACAGGCCATGAGAGCCAGGAACCGGTCGATGAATGCAGCCCGCTACAGGCCTGGTGTGGTTCTGAGTTACTCCTGGGAGCCATGGAGATGCGGGTATTGGCCAGTTCGCTTCTCTTGGAGAGAGGTCAGGGCTGTGTGGTGGTAAAACCTCCACCAGCCTGTTTTGCTTTCAGAAGGCAGGTCAAGTAGCTTTCTTGGGTGGGTGGGGGTGGAGGGGTTCCTCTGCCTCAACCCTGGTGTCAAGGGAGGTGTCTCTTGCTTGCCTAGGGGCAGAGAAAACCATAGCCTGTTATATCCATCCAGTACATGGATGGCTTAGAAAAGAATTATGTCCTGAGTTTGGGGAAACGAGGTGGAAAATAGCCTAATTAGTTGGCTCTCAGGAGTGATCTATTTCAGGCCATTGAGTTGGTATTTCAGCCAGGGCCTAGTATCTTAACTTGCCCCGGATGGTCCCTGGTATTGATTTAGGTCTTTTTCTTTCCTTTTTCTTTTTTGCAATGATCCTTTTGTCATGTCCCAGGAAAGAGTTGAACAGCCTAAGTTGGTGCCAGCGTCACCTTCTGCACTGTCCTCTTGGAATAAGGAGCTTTGGTTTATGTTACCAAGGGCTGTGTGAGCCACCCCCTATTCAGAGCCTCACAAGCCAGGCCCAAAGGGGAAGGGAGGAGACTCACCTGCCTTTGTCCTCCTCGCCTGGCAGAGAGCAGCGGGCCCTCATCAGGACTGAGAAGGATCCTCAGTAGGCTTTCTTACTGTGATTGTCCACCTACCCCAGAGCATCTCCTTCCCTGAGCCTGGGCCTGAGACCTTGGAGACTAGAGATCCTTGGTCTAAGGGGCTCTGGGGCATTTGGATAAGGGAGCAAGGTGGTTGTGACGGGAAGGTCAAGGCCTGTGCTCCTGGAACCACGTACATCTGTAGGTCATCTTGATGGCTCTCATCCCCACTGTACCCCACATACGCCCCTCCCTGGGTATAAAGTCTGTGTCTTCCTAGCTTACCACGTGTGTGCCTGTCCCAGCAGCTGTGGCTAGGCACTGCTGCCAAATAAGCAAGCAGGACTGTTAAGTGACAGGCTAAAATTAGGTGTATGGGTACCCTAGGCCTCTTTTCATTGGGTTTTACTGAGCCTTCTAGTCTGTGAGCTAAGTGGTGTCCACCAAGTGTGCAGAAGGGTGTGTGTGTGTGTGTGCGCGCGTGTGCAGGGCCTCCCAGTATTGTGACTTTGGGAAGCTGTGATAGTTAGGGCTGAGCTGGCGTCTGTGTGTGTGTATGTGTGTGAGTATATATATATATCTGCCTCTTCCTCGTCTGCAGGTTCTGACGGGAACAGCATGGATTCAGTGGATAGCTGTTGCGGGCTCACCAAGCCAGATAGCCCCCAGAATGTCCAGGCAGACGCCAACCCTAAGAAGGTTGACCTCATCATCTGGGAGATTGAGGTGCCAAAGGTAAGGGTGGTGACATCCCTTTAGGCTGGATTCTGTGGGAACACAAAGTTCCCTTAAGGCCAGGGTTAAAGGAGGCCAGCGAATCAGATGGACCAGGCTAGGAAGCTGTAAGTGGACCACTGGACACCATTCTTACCTCACTGACGGGCTTTGCTGGTCCCCCAGGCTCCTCTCTGTGGGGTGGGGCTCACATCTTATCAATGCCAGCAAACACAAGTCTGAGGGCTGGCCATCAGACCCCTTCCCTGCTCCGCACTGGCAAGTGTACTGGATAACTGAGCAGAGCTTAAACTGCCGTAGATAACAGAAAGCCTGGAAACAGAAGCCGAGGCAGGCCAGTTCTAGCCCTGCCTGGGAGCAGCTGCGGGCCTGCGCCTTCCCCCTCACCTCATACCCTGTGGCTGCTGGAGCCAACACTGGCGTTTTAATTAATACTTCTAAATATTTAACAATTTCATTTTCCCGTGCTAGTCTTTAAAAACATTGTTTTAACTGCATTATTCATTGTATGAGCGTCTGCTGCTTCATCAGTCCCCAGTGCCTGAGTGGTTTCTAGCCCCTTGCTGTTAGAACTCAACAACTTATTAGTGTTTATGGCTGGGGCTCAGAAATAATTGGCAGACTGCTTACTCCCAGGGCACTTGGCTCTGTGCTGAGCTGGAGACCTGGCTCAGTCTGAACTTTGGGTCAAGACTCCTGTGCTGACCCCGGGCTGCTGGCCCTGCGGTAGGTTTTCTTCCCCAGGGACCTTGTTACCAATCCTGTCCTCAGTGGTCACAGAGGGCATGGTGAGGCAGGTTCTGGGTGAATAGGGACCATGTCCCTTGCCGCCCTCCAAGGCTAGGGTCATTGAGAATTCTTTCGGAGCTTGTCTTAGGTCATGCTTAAATTTTCTGTTTGCCTTGAATTTGTACAAGTGCACTGGATACTTGTACATGTTGCCCCTTAGTGACAGGGGGTAAGTGTTCTCAGGCTTTCATTGTCCAACCAGTTTCTTTGTCTGTGGCCCCTAGTGGACTTGGAGGGGCAGGGATGTGAGGAATTAGTCAACCCTTCTAGCAGGGAAACGTTCAGCGTATGTGTGTAGGAGGGGTGCTGTCTAATATTCTGGGTCTGGGCCACATGTTTGGGATGAGATGCCGAGTCCTGGGGCAGGCTGCCCCTTCAGCTGCTTAGCTCGGCAGCTGTGTGGTCTTGGGTGGGTTCCGTGGCATGTCCTGGCTTGTTTCTCTTAATGTGTAAGATGATAAAGTTGTCTGTTCATAGGTGCTAGGAGCCAACCTTAGTGCTTAGAACAGTTCCGAAAAATAAATGCTGACACCAACAATGTGAGTTTGACTTTACACAAAACAAGCCTGGGTCCTTCGGAAGCAAGGAGTTGGTTTCCTGTTGCCCTCATATCTCTCTCTCTTTCTCTCTCTCTCTCTCTCTCTCTCTCTCTCTCCCTCTCTCCCTGGAAGCATTTAGTTGGCCGACTGATTGGCAAGCAGGGCCGGTACGTGAGTTTTCTGAAGCAGACATCTGGTGCCAAGATCTACATCTCCACTCTGCCTTACACACAGAACATCCAGATCTGCCACATAGAAGGTCAGTGGCACTGTTGCCCCGCGCTTAGCTCCCTCGCCCGAAACATAAGGCGGTAGCTTCCGGGTTGCAGTGGTCCATTTGAGGTTTTAGCCTCTGAACAGAAACTGTAGGTTTCTAGGTAGAGGGTACATTGGGTTTTTGGCTCCTCCAGTTCAGGTGCTCACAGGGAACTGACCCTTGGTGCCATTTCTGTCTGGCCAGGATAAGGATGGTGCTCAGTGGACAGAGCCAGGGTCTTAGGTCACAGTGTCTGTCACCCACATTTCCCTCACAGAGCACAGGTACCTTCTGGTTGAATCCATCTGTACCTTTCCCATCTGTGGACTTCTTTTGTGTTCAAATTGTGGGTCAGAATAGCAAAGGTGTCAAAAGGGAGGGGACTTAAACGATTCCGTTCCTAAAGCAGAGCCAGATGTCGGGCACCTTAGAGAACCCTTGCACATTAGAATCCTGTGGAGGGGCGTGAGGGTTGGTTTGTGCTTGCTGTCAATTTTCTCTTATCTACAGAGGCTGTGTGTCCTGTCCTTTGCCCTTAGGCTCTCAGCACCATGTAGACAAAGCTTTGAACTTGATTGGGAAGAAGTTTAAGGAACTGAACCTCACCAATATCTACGCGCCACCACTGCCTTCACTGGCGCTGCCCTCCCTGCCAATGACGTCATGGGTGAGCGTGCTCTCCAGAATCTCAGTTCTTGTCCCTTCCCCTAAACTTATCCCAGCTGGCAGACTCTTAGCATGTGGGCCAAGCAGGCGTGATCACATGCGCTTTCTGTTCTGGCCTCCACTCGGTTCTGCCGCCGGCATGTTCTCTGAGGACAGGATAGAGTGCTGGCAAGGAGCCAGGGCCTCTTGACCTCACTCTGGGAAGACTATACTTTCCTGCCACCTGGGCATGCTTGCTTTTTTCTAGGTTTCTGATGATGGAGGAGTGAGCCAGGTGCATGGGTGTGGGGCTTCTGAAAACCTAGGGCTGCACCTAAAGTCACTCAGTTCCCAGCACCAGAGGCCTGGGTAGGACCTTCCAGGAAGGATTTGGGTGAGACTTATATAGGCCGCTATGTTCTTTCTAGTCAGCTGGGCCGAATAGCGGCCCTGGTGAAGGATTCCCTCCTCTAATGCAGAGTCCCTAGCCTGGAAACCCAAGAGGTTAGCAGAAGAGAAGGTAGTGTCTCCAAGAGCAATGAGCAGGCATGCCTCTGGCCTTCATTGGGTCAATTTTGTCGTCAGTGGGAGTAGACGAAGGGTTCTGTGGACCACAGACTGTTTACTGCATTTCACAGATGGGCTGAGCAAACCACTTCAGGAACATTGCCCCTTTGGGTTTTGTTTAGGATGGTAGGTGTTTCAGCTCTGTCTTGCCCCACCAGAGACCCTTGTGCTGTGGGAAGGCGGGGCAGGGGTTTTCCTTTCTTTCACCGTAGGCGTTAGGGAGTGGGCTGGGCCCTGCTCCGTGCTTTGCTTCTGAATTAGAGGATTTCCCGGGAGGCTTGGCTGTAGCCTCTCTTCATAAATGATGGAATAGCTAGTGTGGATGGTTTTCTTCCCTTGTGTTCTGCTTGCTCAGTGGGACCAGGGAGGAGACTCCAGGTGCTTTGAAGTCAGCAGGGCTGGGGGACCCGTAGAAGTCAAGAATCATTCTTCTTGGGGCCACAGGCTTGATGGTGCAATCTAAACCCTCCTGTGTGCAGAACTCTCCTTTGCTGCCTATAGCATAGCATCGGGAAAAACGGGGCTGGAACAGAAGCTTTCTAAAGAGCTCTGCTCGGGCCTTTCACACGGGGCCTTAGCTGCTGAGCACACCTACAGACCCCCCGCCCAAAGTAGAGAGATTGGGGGATATCGAAGGGGTGAAGGGGACTAGGATTTAGGGGCTGAGTAGAAGGCACAGAGGAGTAAATAGGATGCCTTCTCTGGCAGACCTTAACAGTGGGCCTGGCTTGAGGCTGCTCCTTGTTCTTCCGAGACAGGGAAATTCCTCCAGGCAGTAAGCTCTGGAGTCAGCTGCAGGTCCAAAGGGGCCTGAGGCTGCCCACCAAGGCTTTTCAGACATGTTGTTCTGAGCAAACTGCTCACTCATATATTTGCCTTCCTTGACTCATCAAAGGAAGTAGGAGGGGGAGAGGGGAGGGGGATGGGAGGGCAGGCATGCTCCAGGGGATGGACCCCTGCCGAGCCTGTGTTGAGGATCCAGCAGTTGGCCTCTGGCTGCCTAGTTTGGGCTAGGGATAACCCTGTCTGTTCCTGAGGTGAGGCTGCCTGTAAGAGCAGGTCTTGGTACAACACAACTGCCAGCAGCCCTCCGCTATCTGGGTGCCATGTTCTGGATGGCTGCGCCAGTTCATGGACTTGTCCCGGGTCCTCGGGACATATCCCAACCATGAGAACTGATAAGAGTGTTGGCTGCCTCTTCCGCCTCCAGCTCATGCTGCCCGATGGTATCACTGTGGAAGTCATCGTGGTCAACCAGGTCAACGCCGGACACCTGTTTGTTCAGCAGCACACACACCCCACCTTCCATGCGCTGCGCAGCCTGGACCAGCAGATGTACCTCTGTTACTCTCAGCCTGGAATCCCCACCTTGCCCACCCCGGTGGAAAGTAAGTGCCACCTAGAGAGTCAGGGAGAGTCCTGCCTTCTGCTTAGGCCAAGACATGTAGGCGAGGCAGGTTGCCCATTCTGCCCTTGGCCTGGACCAGGAAAAGACCGATGGGGACTCCCTCATGGGACAGCATCCCTGAGCCTGCATGGTCATGGAATGGTGCCAGGTCGAGTGCTCTGGCTAGCGGTGCTGACTTGTGTTTCTCTGACTGACCAAGCAGTGGAATTGGAGTGACCTTTTTGACTGGTAGACTCACATTTTTATGCCTTTTTTTAAAATTACATTTCTTCATTTTGTGTTATATGTGAGTATTTTGCCTGCATGTATGTGTGTGTACCACATGTGTTCTTGGTGCCAATGGAGGGCAGAAGAGGTCTTCAGGTCCCCCAGAAATGTAGTTATGGGTGGTTGTGGGCCACCATGTGGATCTTAGGAATCAAACCCAGGTCTTCAGGAACACTACCTGCTCGGAGCCACAGAGCTACCTCTCTGGCCTGGGCTTTGTGTCTTCTAAGTGGGTTGATACCAGGTGGTACCCAGGCTTGCCCACCAGGAAGGAGGAGTGGATAAGCTGTCTGTGTCGTGGAGGGCTCTTCGGGTATATCCTTCTCACCTGTGCTGTGGGCTGGGCTGTTGCCACATGACAAGTGAGAAAACCATCTCTGAAATGTAGGGACCTGCTCAGGCCACACCAGAGCAGGGGCTGGGATGTCACTGGTACCTTGTTGCTCATCAGTGGGGAGGGGACTAAACATCAAAACATTCCCCCAGCCTCCTCGTGGGCTTTGAGGTATCTGTAACAGCCCTCACCCCCGCCCCCTTGGAAGAATGAAGTTTTAGTTTTTATCAGACTCTCTTAACGCTCTAGCCAGAAGTAAAGATCAAACTGGAGTGTAAGGGCAGATGCATGGTAGCCTTGTCTGGATCAGGACCAAGCGTAGTTGGCTCCTGTGACCCCCACCCCCACGGCTGCCCAGCTCGGTGGCGGCCTGGGGCACTGTGTGCTCCCTGAGGCAGAGGCAGATGGTGTGAGCTATCGGCCTAGGCTGCCCTTGTGGTCAGGCTCTCCATCGGAGTTGAAGTGGAGTAGACCAGATTCTAGGTACTTAAGGTCGGCTGTGCTTGGCACTTCTTGATTCTCTCAGAGACTTTTCCTTGGCACAGGGGCTAGGAGGTAGCATGGTGCAGCGCTCGCCAAAGGATGTGAATTTGATTTCCCCTTATTTAAAAAAAAAAAAAAGAAAAAGAGCGTTGTGCCTGGTATGTATGATTGTGATCCCAGTACTGGAGAGGCAGAGGAAGCCAGAATCTTGGAGTTCACTGGCCAGCCAACATTAAAAAAAAAAAAAGTGCAGTATCTGAGGAGGGGCAGCCAAGTTTATATTTGATCCCCACATCCATGCACATGCACACAGAAGGCAGGCCCTCATCCCTGTTCTCTCAGTTTCGTGTTGTGCTAGTTTTAGGCTGCAGTAGATTTCAGAGTCATGGCTGTCGACTGAAGGCCCTTCGTTCGGGGTTGAGTAGTTTTGGGGGTATGCTAAGCTGGATTTCCTGGGTTTTCACTTGCCTGTCTTGGGCTCTGGGAGAGGTTTTTTTTGTTTGTTTTTTGTTTTTATGGAGGATCCGTGTCACCCCTGTCCCCTCCCCATGGATATGCATGCCTCTGACAATGTGGGAAGGTGGGGAGCAATGACCAGGGTAGCCCTCATGGCCGGAGACTTGTTCCATACACTTATCCTCCCACCCTGCAGTAACGGTTATCTGCGCTGCCCCTGGTGCGGACGGGGCCTGGTGGCGAGCCCAGGTAGTGGCCTCCTATGAGGAGACCAATGAGGTAGAGATTCGCTACGTGGACTATGGTGGATATAAGAGGGTGAAGGTCGACGTGCTCCGGCAAATTAGGTGAGTAGGACTCCTCGGCCAATCACAAGTCACCCCTGCATGGCACGGGGTACATGGCCCAGTTCTGCCCAGCTTCAGATGGGGCTGGAGTCTTCCTTCCTGCTGCCAACTTTGTGTTAACAGTCACATGTAAGCAAACATGATGCCTGCCTCAGCTACACAGAACTAGAAGGCTGCTCCCAAGGGTCAGGCATCAAAACTGAGAGAAAGGGAGAGGCTTGAGTTTGGTGAAGGGTGCCCCTCTGAGTCATCAGGCTGTAGCAGCTGCCCGCCCACATTCAGATGTGCACGCCATCCTGGATTGTAGCTGCTGCTGTGCTAAGGTAGAAGGTAAATTCCAGTCCTGGCGGTCCATGTTAAACTCATCCCTTTCTTGCCTTTCCAGGTCTGACTTTGTGACCCTGCCATTCCAGGGAGCAGAAGTCCTTCTGGACAGTGTGGTTCCGCTGTCAGGTAACGGGCGGAGCGTCCAGCTGCGGGCTGGGCACTGGGGAACACAGGGCTTTCTTGGAGCCCTTCCTCTCCCCTGCAGCCTGTGTAAACATGGTTGGTGTCACTGTTAGCTTCCGATTGAGTAGGTCTAGACTGAGGCCCAGGGCCGTGGAAGTTCTAGCAAGACCCCAAGCGATGCCAATGCTGCTTTGCAGCTTTGCAGTTTACCTGGCTGCCAGCTCGAGAGGCCCCAGTGAGATATACTTCAGAGCATGGTCCAGAGAGGGCAGGCTGCTGGGCACGGGCATGGTGGGGACCGTGCTGACCTGTGTGTCTGGGACTGAAAGCCTTGTTAGAGGAAGGGTGCTGGCATTCCTTAGCCTCATTATCCTTTGGGCTGATGGGATGGTGCTTGATGGTATCTGTGAGAGTCCCGTGTGTACTGATGTGGAAAGTAGCAGATCGCAGCTTCCCATGGCTGTAGGTAAAGTCTGTTTAACCTGTCGCCCTCTCCCAGGCAGTCCCCTTCAGATCCTGTTTGTCCAGAGTAGTTAAAGTGTGCTAGATATACTACAGTGTAACCAGGCATGAGGTTGCACACACTTTTAATCCTAGTACTCAAGAGGCCAAGGCAGGAGGATTGCCAGGAGTTTGAGGCTAGCCTGAGCTACATACACAGCAAGACCCTATCTTTAAAAAGGAGAAAGAATGAAGAAAGAAAGAAAAGGGGAAAAAGAAACATTACAGTCCAGCCAAAGTTCTGTCAGAACACTGGCAGGCTCAGTTTCATTTCCCCTTCTTTCTTCCCAGCCTTTCTCTCCATTCTGTCCATCTAAGCAGTCTGGCCAGACTCATGGAAACAGGCCCTGCTTTATCACAAGACTCTCCTGGCACACCGTCCAAGCGTTTGCCTTCCACCCTTCTTGCCTTGGGCATGTTCTTATACATTACCTTTGTAAGCCAGCCAGTAGAGGGCACCTTGGAGTCTTGCCTATTAGAGGGCAGCTGCCCATACTGGGCCAGCTGCTTGGATTGGAATGCCACCTACCGCATGGTGGGAGCCACTTGGACTTTGGAGATGAGCCTTTGCCCTCCTGACTTCTGGAGCCTTCCTTGTTTTGTGGAGATATACACACTTGGTCAGCACAGCTGTCCCCCAAATAACTGGGGACGGGGCCTGCTTGCATCGTAGGCAGGCTTTCTGTCTTCCCTATGGAGACCCTTATGGCCAGGCCTTCCCTGTGCTCACCCACTCGAGTCACAGAGGCATAGGCCCTGCTGGCAGTTTGGCTGTCCTAGACAGTCCTGACATCTGCAGCATCCAGAGCAGCCGGGAAGTGACAAGACTGCTTTGCTCCAGCGGGCATCTGAACCCTGCCTTTTCTCTTTCTTCCCTTCTAGATGATGACCACTTTTCACCAGAGGCAGACGCAGCCATGAGTGAGATGACGGGCAACGCAGCACTGCTTGCCCAGGTACGTGGTTGGGGCGGGAGGAGGCCGGCCGAGCAGCCAGGGGCTGTCAGTGGGCTTCCTGCCTAATGCAGGGTAAGTGTCCAGGCTTCTTGAGAGCTGACCTTTAAATTCCTTCTGTCCTATGGCCATGAGCCTGGAGGGACCGGCAAGCTTCAAGGGGTGCTTAAGCCAGGCCTGGTGCACTCCTATAACCCCAGCACGCTGTGGGCCACAGCAGGATTCCGAGTGAGGCCCGTCTAGGTTACACAGTAGAGCTCGTCTCGGGTTTTGTGTGCACAGCCTAAGGCGTTGGCCTCTGCCCCTGTCCCTCCAGGTGACAAGCTACAGCGCGACTGGCCTTCCTCTGATTCAGCTGTGGAGTGTGGTTGGAGATGAAGTGAGTCTGCCCCTTTTGTGCCCAGTGGGCTTCCTGGGAACTAGTTCTGCTAGTTGTTAGAGGACACGGTTGTGGACTAGTGCCCTCCCGGGGGACACCGGGTGCCACGGTTGAGAATGGGGATTTTTTAGTGTCATGAACCTAGACGTGTGTTGAACACGTAAGTTCTGGGACAGCCTCTCCCAACACCAAGGACCTTTAGTGCCAAGCAGGGGAGACGCTCCTCTAGACCTTCCGGGACCTTGGTCCAGATCCTCAGCCATTGAGCAAGAACCCCATCGTGGTTGCGCTCCGAGCCTGCGCCTGTCCCTTGCTGATGACTGGAGGCCAGGGTAGGAGGACCCTCCCTGACTTGAGACCCAGCCCATAGGTACCGTGCAGAACTCTGAAGGAAATTCTGTCTTGCAGGTGGTGCTGATAAACCGGTCGCTGGTGGAGCGAGGTCTTGCACAGTGGGTGGACAATCACTATGCCAGCCTTTGACCCCCTGAGCAGCTTCAGTCTTTTTTCTTTTCTTTTTTTTTTCACTGTTGAGATTGGGCTTGGCACTCAGGACAGAGATTTACAGCAGAGTAACAAACATTGCTCTCTCTCTCTCTCTCTCTCTCTCTCTTGAGTATTCTTTCCCCCATTCTGTAGTCCTGTGGAGAAGCAGGTTCCTCCCCCAGGAGGAGCTTCGGGTTCCTTTCAGAGCCTTTGGATGGTGTTTCACCAGCCCGCTGGCTTAGCCCGCCTGGGGGCCGTCTGCAGGGAGGTCTCTTAACCAGGCTGTCCTGTTCCCATTCTATCCGCTCCCCTCTCCGCACCAAAACCCCACACACTACAGCAGGCAGGCCGGGGCGGGTGTGGGGCTGGCTGAGAGGGTCAACTTCAGTCTTTTTTTTCAGGGATTAATGGATTCCCTGTATAGCTCACAAGGATGAACTGATGGTATTTAGCCAGTTTTTATATACTTCCTCCAGCTCGGACTTTTTTAAGCATAGATGTAAATAAGGAGCAATGTCACACCTGACCCCAGTGAGCTGGGGAGCGGGGAAGCTCTTCTCTTGCCAAGCCTGGTTGTAATTTGTAACCATTTTCTATCTGTGCAAACTATGTAAATATATGTTTAAATATGTAATATTTTGTACAAGACACACTGGAGAACAAAGGGAACTCAAACAAACAAAAAAACTCTTCCACATTCTTCACTGGGAACTAGAAGTCCATCCCACAGAGTGGGACCGATGCCCCTGCTGCTCCTACTTCCTGTGCAGACAGGCAGCTGTATGGGAAACTGTTATTTGGAGATTTGATTTTTTTTTTTCTGTATGCATTTATTTAAAAAAAAATAACTCATTGGATTACCTTGCAGTGGTGTGTTTGACTCTTTTATAGACTGTCTTTAGCATTGTGCAATTTAAGAATAACTTAAGTATCTTGGACTTACATAAATCATGAATTGTATAAATGATAACCTTGAGTCCATTTTTCTTGACTGGTGGCAAAAATTTGGGGCTGGGGGTAGGAGGTGGTTGTGAGCGGGGTGGTCCATGGGAGGGTCCAGCTGTGGCTCTCTAAGGACCACAATAAAAGAAGATCCTGTGATCTAAGAAGACAGTTTGGCCAGCTCTGCCCCTTCCCCCACCAGGTGGCTTCTGCATTTAGAGAACACGGGGTCTGACATAGCAAGAGGATACGGAGACAGGGGACAGGGGCGCAGGCCTCTGCAGTCCTGATGACACCAGAGGGCTTCCCTTGGGATGGATGAGGTGTTGAGACAGGCTCCTTGGGCTAGAGTCATAGGGTCTGGGGAGGAGACAGATTCTTGGTCTCATCCTTGGAGAATGGTTCCTTGGGACATGGTTGGGAGCTGGGGAGGAAAAGCAGGTTGGAGAGCCAGTTGTGAAGGACATACACTGGTCAAGAACTCCATCTTCAGAGAAGCAGGGCTTTTAGAGTTTTGCAGATAAGCTCATCGGAGACTTCCATCCCACCTGGGATCATCTCCGCATAAACCAAAAGCTTGTGGGGTCATGGAGGCCTGGACTTGCTTCAGGTGTTTGCATCCTCTGAGCCCCGAGAGACAGAGAAGGACTGGCGGGTCACAGCAGAGCCCGGGTTCTGGGGTTATCGCTACAGCAAGCACAGCTCCTGAGAACTGAAGTCACTTGCAGCCGTCACAGGCTTAAGGTAAAAAAAAAGGTTAGGCACCACTGCGTCCCACAGCGAGCTGTGCCGACCCACAGTGAAGCAGAGTCACAAGGCAGGCACCCTTTGTAGCTGAACTACTTAGAAAGCAGAACAGAGCCATGTCACAGAGCCGGCTGCTTCCCAGTGGTGTCAGCTGCCTCTCCGGATTCCTGTCCCCTCTCCTGAGTGCTGGTACTTAAAATGGTCGGCCAGGACATGGTCTTAGATCATGAGGAACAGGGAGGAATACAGAAGCAATCTGGTTTTGTTGCTGTGAAAAACTTAAACATGAATCAACCCAGGAAGAAACTTGTAGCACCCGAGCCAAAGGGTAAACGAATGCTTTTAACTCCCTCCACTGACAATGTCCTGGGTGGGGTTCGGGGGGTCTCTTTCTAGTGGAAGTTTATGACTGATGAGATACAGGAGAAACACAACCCAACTCATGGATGTGATAATTTCCCCAAGAGCCACAATTAAAAAAAAAAAAAAATCAAGGAATTTTAATATTCACTTAAACAAGGGCACTTTCAGCATGTAATAGACAGGAAGGTTAATGAGGTCCACAGAGTCTGAGACCCGATGTGCACTCTGCTCTGGAGATTTCTGCTCGGACTGTCCACATTTCTGGGCTTGCCAGCAACACCTGGCTGTGGTCCCTGTATTGGTACCAGTACCAGCAGCCTTACACAGGCTGTTCCTTACCGAGAACGCCCGATGGACTAGGCGTTGCCACACAAGCAGCATTTGGGAGGCAGAGGCAAGACGCACGAGGTCAGCCTGGGTCAGCAAGACTGGGGTTGGGGGAAAGCTCCTCAGCACCAGGTAACGACATTTGCTGTGCAAGCCTGATGACCTGAGTTCAAAACTCAGGGTGGGAAAAAAAGTTGCCCCCTGACTTCCGTGTCCATGCCCTAGCACGAATGTTGTCCCCACATGATACACACTGGTAGAAGTTTTAAAAGTGATTGAGAGAATGTGTGTGAAGTCTTATTGCGTAGGTCAAGCTGGCCTCAAACTTTTCGGTCCTACCTGCTTCCTGGATGCTAGGGTTACAGGTGTGTGCCACTCTCTTGGCTTCGAGCTTCTGAATTGTGGCATTAAGCCCAGTCCACATTATAAAATGTGTTTTGACCCAACTGTTTGCCATCTTCGCCGCACACCTGCGTTTTTCACAGCTGCCTTGGGCTTTGACTCACCTTTCCTTTGGACTGTGTCTGTTGTCGGGATAAAGGAACCTTAAATATGAGAATCATTTGGCCGGCCATCTCTGCTTTACCGTGTGTCCCTTTGCCAAGGAGCTTGTGTACTCCACAACAAAACTGTGACCTTCAGCCCTGTTAGGCTTAACGGTGGACATAGGGCTCCTGGCTGATTATGAGGCAGAGGTGTGAGTCGTGGGGGCTGCAGCTGCGAGAGCAGTCATGCTTTGCTTTCCCCTTTGCCCATGGACGTCATGGAGTAGCTTTAGCTAACCCTTGATGGAGGTAGGCTTGGGAAGTAGAAGTGTCACGAGCCACCAGGAGGAGGTTTGTGTGTCACCTGTGACCCACTCTAGCTCAGCCTGCTTGGCACTGTTGGTCTAGGCACCCGTCTTGGCCAGCATTTTATTGCTATGAAGAGGCACCATGGCCACAGCAACTCTTACAAAGGGAAACGTTTAATTGGGCCTGGCTTATGGTTTCAGAGGTTTAATTCATTATTGTCATGGTGCATGGGCTGACACGGTGCTGGAGAGGTTGCTGAGTTTGCCATCTGGATTGGCAGACAGCAGGAAGAGACAGTGCCACTGGGGCCTAGGTTGGAGAGTTGAAACCACAGACCCCTCCTATTCAAACCACCACAGCTGCTGTCCTTTCTCGGAAGACTTGGTGAAAGTTCCCTGTTCTCCGTCCCTCTTTTTTTTTTTTTTTTTTAAGGTGGAGGCGATGGACAAATGCAAGTTCAAAGAATCCCCCACCCCCACCCCACATAAAGCCAGATGCTGCGTTGCAGTGTGCATCTGTGATCCTAGTGTGCCCATGATAGGAGGAGACCAAGAACCCCCAGAAAGCTCTCAGGCAGCTTCCTGCCTCGGGGTAGAAAGTGAAGACCAACACCGGAAGTTGTCCTCTGACCTCCATACATGTGCTGTGGCGTAGCACACACCATGCAATGGCTGTGCATTTAAGTGAAGCTGAGTTTTGACAGGCTTTCCAAGTTTGAATTGGGACCTAATTTGTTTGGCAAACAGGGGCCAAAGCCCAAGATTCCTCTTAAGGAGATTGACTCATACCTTTATAAAGAAAAGGACCTAAGTGAGATCTTGGCTGCTTCTTGAGAGAAATAGGCCCTCTGACATCTGGTGGAGACAGACGGCTTTGGAGGAACCTGGTGCTCTGGGCAAGGAAAGCTGGTACCTCCTCCCTGAGCTGGGATGGAGTTCTCGTCTTTCTCTGGTCTCCCTGGCAGGACGACAAGGAAGGCATTCTGACTGCTCCTCTGGGTTTCCTCAGCAAGTGCCTCTGTACGGATGCCAAGCCTGCTAGGGGCTACAAAGCTGAGTCAAACCCAGAGCCTCCAGGAAGCGTTTCTGAGGAGGTGTGCCAATGATTCTACCGGCAGATGGTGCTAGCCTAAAGGGGGAGCCTTTTCCACTTTTCTGTGGGGTCCTGTAACCTCTGGTGAGGTAGGTACTAGCTCACAATCAGCTGAGCCTGGCCTTGAACCTGTGTCTTCCGGGACTCAGGCTCTGTTCTCTGGCAGTGCTTGAGTGCCAAAATTCCCAAGTAATTTGGTCCACATAAGCGCAAGCTGCTGCACCTAGGTAGATGGCTCAGTAAAGTGACTGGCGGTACAAGCGTGAGGCTCTCATGCTCGGAGCCCACGTGAAAAAGCCAGGCGCAGTGGTTGAGATCACGTACTGCACTCGGAGAGGTCCTGGGTTCGGTTCCCAGCACCCACGTCAGGCGGCTCCCAACCCCCCGCGGACTCCAGTTCCAGGGGATCTGATGTCGCTGGCCTCTGAGAACACAGCACTCATAGGCCCACAGGAGTGTGGAGCGCAGAGGGCAATGCCCCCTCACATAGGCACATATCCCAGGGCACCTCCAAAAGGTCAGGTAAAGTGCTTGCCTAACCCTGAGTGCAGTCCTACATTTCATTCCTGGCACTGCACGGCCGGGCATGGCGGCGAATGTCCGGGCGGATCTCTAGGAGTTCAAGGCCAGCTGGCCTACAAAGCGAATCCAGTACAGCCAAGGCTACACAGAGAAGCCCTCGGGAGGGGGGGGGGGGAGAACAATGAAACAAAACAAAACAAAACAACAACAACAACAAAAAAAAACCAAGAAGAACAAGGAAAAATTAAAAAAGACGAGACGTAAAAGAGAAAAGTGTTTCTGAAGGAGTGCAACGAAGTCCACTCACGGCAGATTGCTGCTGTTTCAGCCTCGAGCCACTAGATGGCGCCACACCACAAGCTACTGTAGGTGTCCCCTCCCTCAGTCTCATCGCTGTCTGAGAACAGAGGTTCTTCCTAGCGCTGTCTCCTTGCTAAACTTATTAGGGATGCAAATTCCCAGCTCGCACCCCAGACTTCCTGAACAAGAACCGTGCAGCACTCCGACTTCAGGTGGTTCGGATGCAGCCTGAAGTCTGAGAGCCACTGTTCTAGAGTCAACATTGGGGTAGCTCGGAAAGATAGATGCCTGCCGGGGAGGGGCGAGGACCCGGCTGGGGGAGGGGGAATGCGAGGAAGGGCGTGGTGGGGGTGGTGAAAGAAGGTCATTGGTTCAAAAATGCCAAGGAGCTGATCCCAAAACAGGAAACTAATATGGACTGAGTGGCAAGGCTGATTTTCGTCCAAGTGGGTAAATCCGAGCGGGGTCAGGAGGAGGAGTGGGGAGAAATGAGGGCCCTCTAAGGGGGTCCCCTCCTTTAGGAAGGCAGATGGTGGGCTAGGAGCTGAAACCCAGGCTGTCTTGAGTTCTTCGGGGAGCCCCAGGGCGGCTTGTGTCCTCATTGTGGCTGTTCATCTTAGCCTGTTCTGAAATCTCACCAGCCTACTACTGTGTTAATGGATTGAAATCTCGCAACCCTCCCAAGACGACCCAGGAAAATGGATGCTCAGAATCAAAAAGAAGCCTGAGATGGGGTGGGAAAATCACTAGTGAATTAAAACCTTATTTTTGTCTTTTCCATCCCATTGGTACCCTCAGGGAAGGCCAGCGCAGAATGAATTAATATCTTTTTTTTTGACACAAAAATTCCTTTTGCAGGTTGCTACTGAGGCTTCAAAGGGGT